ATAAAAGTATTTATGCATAACATGCCTAGCATATGCACATTAAAGACTATTGCCTTATAACTTTTTTTTCTTTTTTTGAGGTTACCTTTTGAAATAGAAATGATATTCACAATACCTTATTATATATGCAAAAATTAGCAAAATTTCTTTGGTTTTAACAAGTATCTCCAAAAATACTAAAATCGATTAGAATTTGAAATTTTATTTTAAGCTTTGAATTCTAATTTTAAATACAAACTTATAAAATTTACGATATAAAAAGAAACTATGTTATATCATGAAATATAATTTAAAATTTTTACTTAGTAAAAAAGGAACAAAGGGTAGAAGAGAGAAAAGATTTTAAAAATTTAAACTCTTTTTTCCTTTTTTGGTAAACAAATTAGGTTGCTTTCTTGTTCACACAATTGAAGAACATTTGATAATTTTTATGAGTTCTAAGTAACTAAGACCACATGAATAAATATTAAGCAAATGTTTTTTGTATCAAAAATGAGCTTCACTTGGGTAAACCTAATTAAATTAGGGTTTCTTTGTTTATGGAAAGACTAAAAAATGGCTTTGGATAAGTTTTCTTTTTTTTCTCTTTTTTTTTTGGGTTTAGGGTTTAGGGTTAATTGATGTTATCATAAATAAAGTCTTTATGACTAGAAAATTTTGAACTACTTCCTCCAAAAAAAAAAAAGAAAAGAAAATTATGAATGCCACTCAAAGGAAGAACCATCCTTGCAAAGCAAAAGGTGGAGTAAAAGCAAAGAATGATATATAGTACACAAAGCAAATCATAACAATATTATATAAATCAGCACTCACCATATCATCACATTATCCTCAATCTTTATCTTATTTTAAATTATTTAATTAATTGTATTCAAATTACATACACCTATTTCTTGATATTCTTTTAGTATTATTTGAGACATGGGCGGACTTAAATGAAGATAAGTGGTGTCACAGGGCATCGTTTATTCATTGAAGGGTAAAATTTTTTTTTCTTGTTATAGTACTTATGTTAGAATTTTATATAATTAATGACATTGATGAATTCATTAATTTTTTTTTTGTAATTTGGTAAGAAGTGGAGTCAAAGACTTTAAGTCAAAGTAAATTTATTAAAAAATAATTTTTATTTTAATATTTAAATAATAAGAAAATTTTATAATTTAAAATTTTATTAAAAAAAGTTAAAACCGCTACTACTCTCTCTTTCTAAAAATTCAAATCTTATTCTTGAGACTTGTAATGATGCTTTCTCTTCTTGATCTTGACTTTGTTTTTCACTTTCTCAAAATAACTCATTTAAACTTCAATTATAAGTAATTTTTAATTCAAATTAAATTTTCAATAAGTCTAAATATTTTTTGAATAGCATGATATCACTCAGAAAATTTTTTAAGTCCATTCTTGACTCGAGATTTTCTTATTTTTTTTCTTCAATTGTATATTTGAGTATAGCTAAAGTGGCAACATGCGCACTTGCATATCTAGACAAATATTTATACTAATTGTCATTA